AATTATAAATGAAAAAACTAAATCTATTCCTAAATTCCTAAATTTACGTGGGTAAGGAGTATATATATATATATTTATTTTTTATTTTCGAATTGATATTAAGCATTAGATGTGCATTTATATTATAATTCGAATTAGGCATCTCATGAAGGAGGCGTTGCAGACTTATCTTCATACATTCTTTGTTATCGACATCTGGTTTTCTTACTCTTTCATTTTTTCTCGTATATGTTTTTGGTTATTCATTGGAGTGAGATGCAACTTACAGAAGAGTCGAATGAAGAGTGAGCTAGTAATAATTTTGTTTTATTGAAATACTTTATAGATTACAATTAAACTTGCATTAGAATCTTATTCACACCCTCAAGTCATTTGCTTTCTCTTAAACGGTAAATCTATTTGAGATATACCACTGCTGTTGAAGTACCACATATGGACAAAAGAAACCCAACACTGTCCATGAAATCTATCGTTGACACTGAAACAAGTCCTTTGGTTGTTGTTAGAAGAGTAACGTTAGCGCCATTCTCCGACAGAAAAGCACCTATAAGACATGCTGAAAATAAAACGACACAAATATTATCTAGCGACTTAAGTACATCTTGTCGAACGAACAGTTCTGCCCATAAAAACATATTGAAGTTGCCGCCGATCTTTTCTGAAAAAAAATACACAGAGTCAAAGACTGAGAAAATGAAAAAATTATCATCTACTCAATCCAATAGAAATGTTCAAGCTGATGGTCATATTTCATTGTCAACTTATTCTCAAGATGTGCGAAGAAAAGTATCATTCGCCGAACAAAGTACGTCCCTCTCGATGAACACTATCGCGGGTGATGAACAAATCGAGCAAATGTTAGATCCATTAGAAAGTGTAATCAATACAACTTCAAATAGCGAGCATTCTACATTTCGGTTACAAATTCCATTTATGTCTAACTTTAGAATCATTTGGTTAGATTCAAATTTCACTAAACTTAATGCAGATTTTGAATACATGATCAATCAACTTCGACATATTATTGATGTCATTAATCCATTCACGGATCCCGAAGTATGCAAGGATTTCATCAGAAAAAAAATCGATGAAACAATTTTCTTAATTGTATCAAATGATGTAGAACAATCGATAATATGTGATATTCATCAGATATCTCAAATTCATTGTATCTTTATATTCTGTCAAAATAAACCGAAGAAGACACGTTGGATAAAAAATTGGAAAAAGATAATCGGTTTTTTCATGTGTATTAACACAATTTATGAAAGAATCAAACAAGAAACTGAACGACATTGTCGTGATTCCAGAACCACTAGTATTTCAAGTGTGGATTTAAATCGTTTCGATACATCATTTATGTATACATTGATTCTTAGAGAGATACTTTCCGAAATGAACTACGATGTTACAGCAAAGAAACAATTGACTCAATTCTATCGAGAATATTATTATAATGATCCGTGGACACAGAAAGACATTGATAACTTTAACCAAAATTACGAGTTACATACGCCAATTTGGTGGTACACTAGGTTCCCATTTCTCTATGAGAGGCTTAATGAAGCACTTCGATTACAAAAGACGAAGACCATCATTAAAATGGGCTTTTTTATAAAGGATCTTCACGATCAAATTGAACAGTTATATAGACCAACGACTGAAAAAATTACCGTCTATCGAGGTCAAGGACTGTCGTATGCACATTTTAATCAATTACGCACAATAGAAGGTGGTCTATATTTTTTCAATTGTTTCTTATCAACAACTGCCGATCGACAAGTGGCTCTTTCACGAGCTGAAAGCTCTTGCTCTATTGAAGGTTCTGGACAGATAGGTATTCTTTTTCAAATAACCCTAGATCCAACTGTTGGCACTGCAGCTCCATTCGCTTCATTAAATAATGTAAGCTTCTACTTTGACAGAGAACAAGAAATTTTATTTTCTACACACACAGTATTTCGAATCGGTGAAATAAAATCAATTGGAGATTACTTATGGCAAGTAGACCTTTTATTGGTTAGTGACGACGATGATGATTTGATCAAACGTATTGAATACATGCGAAATATGACATCAGGAACAACAGGATGGGATAGACTCAGTAAATTGTTATTAAAAATGGATAAATTTGAGGAAGCCAAAGAAGTCTTAGAAGTATCGCTTGAGAATTCAAATGATAACGATTTGGAAAGACTTGGCCATCGTTACCATCTAATGGGTCAAATAGAAAATAGTCAACACAATTACAAACAAGCACTTTTCTTCTACGACAAAGCTTCACAAATTTATCAAACTCATTCCAGTTCTATTCATTTAGATATGTCTGTAATTTACAATGATATCGGTTCAGTATATAAAAACACAGAAGAATACACAAAAGCACTAGAGTATTTTCAAATGGCACTTGATTATCAAGATAAATCTAATCCTTTAGCTCATTCAAATTTGGTTCTTATCTATAATAATATGGCTGAAGTACACAAAGTGATGAAACAATATTCAGATGCTTTGAATATTCTTGAAAAACTTTCGACTACTTATAAACGATCATCAGTTCTTTACGATTATCCAACTATGTCTATTATTTATATAAGTAAGGCTGAAGTATATTTTGATATGGGATCTTATTCGGAAGCATTGGAACTATTTCGAAAAGTATCTAATATGTATAAATGTTGTCATCCACAAAATTTTATCGATATAGCTAATGTTTATAATCGCATTGGTGAAATCTATCAAAGATGGGACAAGCATCTCAAGGCATTCGCATACTATGAACAATCACTTAAAAATTATCATATTGCATTTAATATTTTATTCAAACAATTACCAATGAATGTATCAAATTTAGCTATACTCTATAGTAAAATAGCTCATGTACATACAAATATGAACAATTATTCAATGGCACTTACACTGTATCAAAAATCACTTGAAATCTTAGAAAGATCTTTCCAGTTCAAACATCCAGACTTAGCATCGACATACGCAAATATTGGTCACATATATAAAAATATGGGTAAACATGACAAAGCACTTATATCATACAGACAAGCTATGAAAATCGCACGGCAATCATTGCCTGAAAATCATCGTCATTTTCTAATATATCAAAAATATGTTACGGAATTTCAACAAACGTTTCAATGAACTTTGAGTTCAAGTCGAACAGATTTTTTTCATTTTATTTTTAAGATTATTTAATGTCAAATTGTGCTTTTATAAATCTACAAACAGTTAAATATATTAATCGTTCTAAAATAAAACAGTATTTGTAGGACGAAATTGTCATCAGAAATGTTTTATAAATAGCAATGGATATAGATGGACAGAATTACAAAGGAATAAATCACATCCTAACCATCGAGTGGGGATAGATATTGATATTTAGTTCATCAGATTTCATTTTGTTCTTCATAGTCATTTTATAAAAATGTATTTATTGTGTATAGTCGTTATCGATCACGTGTACTGATAAAGAAAAAACCTACTAATAAAAAAAA